GTTGGACTTGATGATCTAATAGGTCCCTTCTGACTCTAAAATCTATGAAATGGATGACATTTTTATGGGTTTTTCATAATGTCATGAGCATCCTGTTAAAATCCACCCAGCGCCCGTCCACATATGCACATTTCCTGGCTCAATGATTGGCCATGGGGGACCCTGGGTGCCCCCCACCCCCATACCCAGGAGGCACCAGTCACTGAGTTGGGGGTGAGGGGAGGGTCCACTGCGCACTCCACGGTGGACCCGGAAGTAACTGGAAGTGCTTCTGGTCCACACACGGCATTGATTCGCTTTAACGCGTGTGCGTGAAGATGCCAGCCTATTCCTGTTTTAAAATTTAAGTAAATTTAAGCCGGCGTAAATGCACATTTAGACACCCCCATCCGGCATTTAGGTGGGCCCTAAGGGTCAAATCCGAATCGAATACGGCCTGCTTCACGCTCCCCTAGCAGCCAAGTACATGTATCACTCGTGGCACAGCCAGTCTCTGCATGTGGCAGATCAGAGAGGGAACAAGCAGCATAGTGGCAGATAAGGCAGGAAACAGAAAGTGGAGCAGCAGATTGGGTGAGGGAAGGGGGCTAGAGTAGTACTTGGGGAGGGTAGAACTTATACCAGGAGAACTTATACCATCCTCCAGTTCTCCTATGCAATATGAAGTTTCATTTCTACCTGGGAGATATTTTACAATCTTTCAACTCTCCTTTACCTCAGGAAGGGTGCGTGAGCCCAAAAGCTTGCAAATAAAGACATTTTTTTGCAACTATCTAGTTCATCTAATAAAAGAGAGTGCCTGTACCACAAGAGTCCTGATTACTTTGGGAGGGTGCCACTCTAATCTACTCTAATTTGTAGCATGCCTGCCAGAAAGGTTGGCCCTCACTGGGTGAAACTTTCTTCTTGTTGTTTATCCCAACCTAGATAGGACATGCTACTGTTTTGGAACATCTGTGCTAAAACACATCCTGGGCCAGGATGGGAATTCCATACCTGATGTCTGTCCAGGGCTATGGCTGTTAGTGTCAGCGTGGAGACATGGAGGGAGCAGTACTGCACAAAGCGGCTGATATGACACATGGCCTTTCCAAAGACCCAGGTGCTGTTCACAAACCGAACCTGCAGAGAAATTGACAAACCAACCCGAGTCAAATAACATGGATTTGAGGACATGGATCCTCTCCTAGTGCCCTCTATCACTCTGGCCAGATGTCATTTGAAGCCCAAGGAAAATACTGTCAATTTTAAATCCTCAAACTCTTCAATGATTTGTTTACAAAGGTTAAGACTAGAATGCAAGCTATTTCTGAGAGAGAGAAAGCTTTAAAAGCTCCACACCTAGTTTGGAGACTGAAAAGTTTGAATCTGAGTCATACCCCACCTGCCTCTACATCAAAATAATTCTAATAAAATATTCTATACAGGGTGTGTCTACACATGCAATTATGGCACATGAATAAACTGTGGAGTTTATTGATCTGCAGTTTCTTGCTCCAGGGCGCACCAGCCAGGGCAGTATCTACATATGTGCTGCTGTGGATAGGATTTACAGGTACTAACCTGCTGCAGAGTATATTAGTTTACTTCAGCCTAATAGGGGCTCATGTGTAGATGCCAAGATGTTTACTGTGCAGCTAATCTGTCAACTGCACAGTAAATGTCTCATGCAGACATGCCCATAAACATCTATTCTACACCTTATCAAAGCCCCAGTGTTCTGCTGTGGTTCAAAGGCAACGGCTGGAAGGCAAAGTCTGAGCTTGTTTTGGTAAGATGAAAGATTTAGAGAGGCCCTGGTTTCACTTGCTCAGCCATGTCACTTCAGAGTTGGCTCTCATGGTGTTCATTTCACATCTCAGACCCAGATGTGCACAGAGGGAATGACACTATCATTCTGTTAGATGGTTAAGGCCACATCCAGCACCTTGTTGGCAGGCATGGTAGCATAATAAGGCACTTACTAGCGTAAAAGGAGTGTTGAGCAGAGTGATCATGATATCAGACACTGCCAAGTTGACAATGAAGAGGCTGGTGGCTGAGTGCATCCTCTTGTTTTTGATCACCACATGGCAGACCAGCGTGTTGCCAAAGAGGGACATGATGATGATGACTGAGTAAGCCACAATCAGGAGAGCCTTCACTGTGGGTTTCTGGGACTCTGGTTCATACTTGGCCAGCTCAGCAAACTTCTCCCACTCAACAATCCGGCTGTCTGTCCAATTGAAGGCTGTCCTGTTGGTTGCCTGGTAGACTGACATGAGCTTAGACAAGGAAGAGTAATGGTCAGACTCCTCCGAAATTCCTGTGACTTGGGGAAAGTAGGGAAGTGACTGAAGCAAAGGGTAAGCCATGGTGATTTCCAGCTGGGTTAGTCCAGGTGTAGACACAGTTTAAGGCAGAAGAGACTGTCAGCTACGGTCTAGCAATTGTTTCACTTCAGAAATCTTTGTTCTCTATATGCTGGAAGGGATGCAGTCGTCACTAGTAAAGCCGTGCTTTAAAATGCAAAGTTAGAAAGAGGCAATGTGGTGCAATCCATTCTTGAAGTGTACAGTCAGAAAGGCATAGGGGTGTCATTTAATGCTGCTGCACAGAGAGGAAGGGGAATTGTGCAGGTCTGTAGGCTCTCATAACTTTTTCACATGGCCAAAAAAATTCAGCAGCAGTCATGGTGACAGATGCAAAGAAAAGCTAATAGGTACCTAAGGCAAATGTAGAATCCTGCCTTTCTCCTCCTAAGAGGACCCCCACTACTGATACTTTCATTCTTTATTTCATTTTCTCCCTTTCTGTTGAACTTAAATACAAAGCCAGTTTTCAGTACCATCCTTAAATTCTCAGATACCTCTTTTCTTCATCTAATCCTCACAATTATCCTTTTTGAATTCAGGATTTGTGCACTGTAGAAAAAGAACGTTTTGTGGATACTTTTCTATTTTCTCTTCCCCACAGTAGCTGTGAATTTGGCTTCCAGTCTTTTGATATTCTGTGGGAAAAAAATATCTTTTTAATGAAAGGCAACTGAACGCTTTCTAGCAACATGGCTTTTAAGCCACAAAGGACACTTTTGATACAAATAAATAAATACATAAACACAGAAGAACTTGAGCATTCCTCTCGACTCAAAATCACTCCTAACACTTTTGCGCTTTCCTGTAAGGGGCACTTCCTCTAGATATTTTGGCAACTGAATGGTAATGAACAATATCCAGTGTGGGTTTGGATGTGCTGTCTAATAACTTCTGATCGGCAGGAGTTATTGTACTTGGACCACACCATGTGGTGTATATACACACACTAGAGCAAAAGTAGTTCAGAAATGTTACAAATGTCTTAAACCTTACAGCAGTGTTATTTTAGCACATTCCTCTGGCTAGAGCAGTGGTGCCCAGTGTTTTCATCCCACGGGCCAAGCGAGAAGTCACAGATCCTCTGCAGATCAGATCTGGTTTATGGGCCTAATCCTACCATGCAGGGCCAGTTCAGACTAAGCCTGATCTTGCTGTGTGGGGCTGCCCTGGCTGGTGCCAATCCAGCCATGTGGGGCTTGGAAATTTGGGAAATTTGCGGTCACATTTCTGGACCTATGAAGAGCCAGATAACATGACTCACTAGGCGGATCTGGCCATGAACCAGGGGGTAAGCACCCCTGGTCTAGAGAGCTGGTTACTTTAGTTTTTGGGTGCAAATCAAATCAATGTCTATAAAATAATGAAGGGTCTCAATACACTAAATAAGGAACTGTTATTCTTTTTTTACACTGTGGGCACATCTACATGAGATGCTGTCACTGTAGTGATGCTCTACGATGAGGTAGTGACCACAGGTGTCTACACATGACCAGCAGCTACTTCACTGTAGTGACGTGCTCCCCCATTATAGCGTGCCACTACGGCGAAGTAGCTGCTAAAAATAACCGTGTGCTATACGTACAGAACAGTACGGGCGGTAACTGCGCCATGCTTTAGTACTTTCAAAAGGTAGCACTTTTGTGCCTCTCCTTTTGGAAGTACTAAAGCATGGTGCAGTAACAATGTCACCATAGGAAAATGTGTCGATACGCCCTGTGTGTAGTTAACTTGTGCAACTTGTTGCCACAGGAGGTTGTAGAGGCCGAGCATAGTCAGGTTCCAAAAGGGATTAGACAAATGAATGGAGGGCAGATCCATTAAAAGTTATTAAAAAAGAAGTGTCAGGGATGTATCTTCCAACATCCCTAAACTAATGATGGTTGATGCCAAGGATGGTATAACTGGGGATGGATACCTCTAGATCTGTCCTGTATAAATACTCTTCCTCCAAGCATTTACTACTTACCATTGTCAGAGCCAACATACTAGGCTAGACAGACCACTGGGTTGACACAGTATAGCATTTTTTAAATTCTTAAATCAGGCCTTTTATAAGTAGTATTCTTCAAAACCTCCCTAAAACAGTTGGCCCATGCTAAAAGCCACATGAAGCCTATGTCAGTTTTTCTTTGTCAATGGTAAAGGAAACTGGACTAAACCCAGGAAACAATTCTGGCTAACTGTTTTTAGTGTAGACCAGAGAGGCAAACATACAGTCTACAGGTTATATCTGCCATTTTCTCTGGCCTCCAGGGCTTCGACAGGGGCTGGGAATTTTGGGGGTGGGGCCTGCCACAGGATTCATGGCTACAGGGCCTCAGTCAGGACAGGGGTGCGAGTAACAGCTATGCTGACACAGTACCACTTGCTCCATTGTTGCTCAAGTCACTGCTGCCTGCCCTAATGTCACTTGTTCCAACCCTGCTGCTTGCCCTGCTGCCACCTGCCCTACTGCTGTTAGGTCCATATCTGGCTTGCAAGGAGCCCCATGGCTCCTTGGATCCTGGCCTGGGCACAGGGTAACTTTGACATCCCTGGTGTAGGTACACTGTGCTTTACTGCTATCTAGCCCCGGCACAGGTAGTCCTGCACAGGAGCCTGAGGCACGTTGTCAGGGTAGGACTGGATGTAACAGAGTTTTGTCCCATCTTGTCCCACCCTGGAAAGCACCCTGCTTCCCCGCTATGTTGAGAGCAGGTGCACAAACATGCAGAGGAAGTAACAGAAGCACTTCTGCCAGCTGTAGGGGATTTGTCTTGTTCAGGGTATATTCTGGCTGCCCTTCTTCAGCCATGAGAAGGATGTGACTTGAAGTAGCATGAGCACACTGGAGAAACCTGCCCTCTGTCTCTGCCAATGGTTTGACTCTTGGGCTAGTGAACAAGCATGAACTACAGAATACCTGATGGAGCTTGTAACAGTGGAGGAGCCTGAAAATACCACCAATAAGCAACAGAGAAATCCAGACAAGTCAGTTCATATGGGAGAAAAACTAAGCTGATGCTGCTTTTAGGAGATACTGTCACAGCTCAGCCTTATTCTCAAGGGGATGTTTTTTTATTAGATATGGGGTGATTAGTCCAGTGGCTGAACAGTGTGACATAAGGAAGGGAGGAGAAAGGGATCTTAGAGTGGGCCAGATTCCCCAAGAAGTTACACTGGGAGCCTCCCCAGAAAAGGAGGAGTAAAAAAGTGTCTGACAACCTCAGTGATGGGCATGCGTGTGTGCACGTGTATGGTGGGTGCTCTAAGGACATAGAGCAAAGACAGAAGTGGACAACATTGGTTGAAAGGAGGTAGAGCCTTTCCTATCATTTAAAACACCTTCCTCCTCTTCCTTTATCCCTCTGTATCACCCCATCCTTCCTAGTCTGTGACAGAGTCTCTGGAAAGCCTTTCTGAGCAGTGTTTAGGAAGCTCAATAAAGAAAAATTGATACACATATTTTTTCAGTGGGGAGTGGGAGGGAGAAGAGGATCCAGGAGACTAAGAAAAGTACAAATCCTACAAACAGCCTATTGAATGCACTTTTCTACTCATATATTTGCTTGAGGGAGAGGGAGAGAGTCAACAGGAGAAACCCAACAGCTCTCTGGTGTATGGCTTATGCAAGCATGGCAGGCATAAAAAACACAGACAGAAAATAAATACCATCATGCCTGATATAATTTCTCCTATTCTGAGTAGGGTTGGAGTGTTGTCAGAATAGGTATTTCTTTTCTGCCCTCACCATCCTCGTGCTCAAAAGGAATTTACAGAACACCTCCAGAAGATGGGTTAGAGAACAGACATTCATAAACATAACTGGATAGTAAAAAATTTGAACTACAGTGGCTTTATGGCTCACTACAACCTAACAAATACTGCTACTGATCTTCCTGCACTTCAGGGTAATAATGACTCTTCTTTTTTAAAATGGTTGAGTTCTGACACTAACTACATTACTTGTTCTACTGTTTTATTATATCAGAATTTCTGATAACACCTCTTCACTCCGAGTTCACAGACCTCCTCCATCCCTCCTAGCAGATGGTTTGCATTTACATGCCGTCTTGTGTCTGCTATTTCAGATTTTTGGGGGGTGATAGCTTTTATTGGACCAACTGCATGGTTGGAATAAAGTTAGACAAGTTTCTGAATGCAAGACCTGATGAAGAATGTCTTGCACTCAAAAAAGCTTGTCTAACTTTACTCCACCCATGCAGCTAGTCTAATAGGAGATATCATCCTCTACAAATCTTTGCTTCTTTCATGATTCCTGGACCATCAGGCTACATCATCACTCCAACACAACCTCTGCTATTTAGCTCAGCCTCTATCTGCTCTTTCCAGATTTGAGGAAGGGCATGTAATGCCTGAAAGCTTGTCCAACAGCTTTTCCAACTATACAGTTAATTCATAAAAGATAGCCCCCTCCCCCCCCCTTTGCCTCCCATTTTTTGGACATTGATATACCACTGAGCCAGTGGCTGACGCTGACTGTTGTGTTAGGCTGTCTCACAATATAAGAAAAAGAGGACATTTCATGAAACTGCAAGGCTACACAAACTTTTCTTAAATGCAGTTTGCCTATGAAATTCATTACAAGTTTGTCTCTGAGACTAAGGATATATCAGGACTCCAAAAAGGAGCAGATTTGTATATTGTTAATGGGACCATCCAGGTTTTTAATAAGGATTTAAGTGTGGAAAGCATATAAACCTCTAGCTTTGGGACAAGGGCTGATCACTGTAGCAGGGATGTCGGTTTTGTTTGGAGAGGGCTGCAATCCATGCTTGATTCTGGTCTGGCCAGGGTGTGCTCAGCACTTCACACTCTTTTCAGTGCAGAGCAGATCTCCTCTGGTATGGGATGTTACAAGGGATAAAGGGTAAATACAGCTTTTATGGAATAATGAAGCTTTAATTAATTTAGCCCCTTGACACAAGCAGCACCACTCATACTCCCCTTCAAGTAACTCCTGCCTGTAATGTTTCCTTCCTTACCACATCCTCCTTTCTCACTCATTCTGTTCGTGAGTCTTCTCTGTGCTTTCCTTTACATTTCCTTTCCACAGCAGCTTCTAGTATGCACCTACTTTAGGCCTTCAGCCCCAACCTTTCTGCTAGTGATCAGCACTTCAGCAGAGGTATATTGCCATTAATTTATCACCATTATTGACTTTTAGTATGGACACTCCATTGAGAGTGGGTAGTTCACCTCTCTCAGAAGCGCTGCAGGTCACTGTCTGCAGACACTGTTGTTTATACTGGCTTCATATTTACTTACTTTTTTAAAAGATGACATCCAAGTTTCTGGAGAATCTAATAGACCACGTGAGCCAGATCTGATCTGCACACCATATGATTGAGAGCCCTTTTTAAGAGAGGGAGGTTAGAAAGATATGTCCCCTGCATTTAGGCTATTCTAGAAGAGACAACTTCTTAGAAGTGCTGAGCTGACTGAAGGGACCAGTTGCTGCTGAAAAAAAGTAGGATTTAGCACCTAATGAACTTAGAAGACCATGGAAAAATCTCACCTTAATTGTCCATAACTGAGCTTTTTTCAGTATCTTTTGGAGCACCTAATACTGACCACTGCTGGTGAATCAGACCTCTGATTTAGCATGGAAATGTCTACTTCCAACAGTGCCTCTGCATTTAAATTAAATGTAGATTGTGTGCTCTTGTCACAAATGAAGCATTTCGTTTTTGTGGCTGAAGTGAGCTTGCTTAGCAGACTGGTTTATGTGCAATAGCTTGGAGCTCTAGATGTATTAATTATCTAGAGGAAAATTATACAGATACAACTTCTTGTATTTCTTTTGAGAGGCATCACCACTCCTCTCAAACAGATTCTTGAACATGTCTGTCTAAATGCATCATTCTGATTATAAAATGTTAGCATTTCTCTTTAACACTTAACAGACATCTTTGCAATCATTGCTTGTCAGTTATTTCACACACAAAACAGCATTTCCGCGGCTCGCCTCTTTTTTGTCTGACACCCAGGATAAAACTATGTAATAAAATCGCGGATATTAAATGTGCAGATTTCAGACAAAAATCCAATCAACTAGGAGAACTGAATGACTGCCACTGTAATTTATTTCCCATTGTGTCAGAGTTACTTGCTCTTGTACATAAAACCCCAGGAATTAATAAACTTTAGTTTTAGAATGCAAATTGCTTGAGGATTGTCACAAGAAAGTGAAAATGCTCTCCTCAGGGGCCACAGAAAATTCATGCATCTGGAGGTATTGCAATCCCTGCCACCTCCCCACACCTCCCTGGAGAGATGGCAGTGCAGTGACACACAACCACACAGACACACCCAGTCCTCCAAGCCGTGCATGCAGGCGCCTCAAGTGGATTTGAGGATGCTGAGAAGAGCCAGGGAAATGGTCCTGTAGTGACAGCGATACAGCCAGTCTTTGCGCCTGCACCTGCAAGGAAAGATAGCCCACGTTCACACCCAGCTGTGGTCCCAGCCCTCCACCAGACCCTTGTGCCCGTCCCGTCAAGGATACTCCACAGAAAAGTCCCACACCTGGAGGTGTTGCAGTCTAGTGACACTTCCGAGCCTGCCACTCACCTGCGGCTCCTAGACGGCTCAAAGCCCCTCTCCCCTCCTGCTCAGCCCGGCAGCGAGAGCGGGGAGCATCCTCGGGCCCCGCGCCCGGCTCTCCCGCCG